TAGATCGGTTTTAAAAACCGGTAATAGTCTTAATAAAACTTTATTTTATACTTAAGATTTGGAGTTTTGGATGAGTTATAAAATCACTATTTTAAATCTGCTTTTAACAATCAAAAACTTATGACTTCATGAATTTATAGAATAAACTCATTTTATTTTTTTAAACTCATTTTTATGCGTCTTATGATAAAAGTCATATTTTGATAAACCAAAACTTGGATGATGATACTTATGCTTTAAATCTCATTTAGCATGCATAAAACATAATATCAACATGTCACGTTATGTTTAAAACACCAATATCATACATTAAGTTTTGACGCAAAAAAGAATCACTAATTTTATTATTTGCCGTTATAGCGTTATAAACCGATTTTAGTCTTTTTAATAAAAACTCATTATTTATTATAAGGCATGAAGTTTATATAATTTTTAAACGTCTTTTAAATCATTTCAGATATTTTAAAGTTGGGTATTTATAAGTTTTACAATAAAACTATTTTCAACAAAAATCGATTTTTAATCGGTAACCGGTAAAAACGTTTTTATAAATATCCAATTATAAACATCTTATGTTATCTTTTAAATGTTTTTTACTCAAACTCCAAGTGATATTATCTTATGTTAAAATTTTTTCAGACATGTAAAACTCATTTTCATATACAAAACATAACATACAAGAACATAAAATAAACATCACATGCATGCATTATAATATGTATAAACCAAGCCGTGTCTAGTAATAATTTTTGTGAGTCATCACAAGAATTATTAAGTATTTCCTAGACGACTTAAGGGACACTTCAAAAGGTCTTCAAGCTCCCACTTGTCAAGTCAACTCTTGCTTGCAAAAGGACTTTAACTCTTCATGTTGTGAAAGTTGCAACAGTTAAATCATTAAGACTATAATTAAGTCCAAAAACAAAAGTAGAAGGTTATGGTTGTGATTATGGTCTTAAATGGTTAAGTCATCTTCAAAGAGGTCATTTCTTCATCTTGTTACATTTAAAAAGAAATACAACTAGTCTAACTAATTTATTACAACAAATCAACAAATGAAAAATTACCTATTTATCAATTACATCTTATGAATAAATAAATATCAACCAAACACAACACAAAAGTTCAAATGACTTGTTTATACACAACAACATATCAAATATTATAACAAACAAGTCTTTGTTTTTTCTAAGACAACTTTTATATAACCAAAATGCATGAAAAATGGTTATATATAAAATAAACAATTTTAATCAAGAAGTTGCCAAATAAGACAAATATGGATTTTCTTTACCAAAAGAAAATCATGGCTGTTTTCCAAAAACCAAAGGTTATCAAACATAAAAAATCATTCTAACATATAAAAGATGGCTCTGATACCACTGATGGTTATATATAAAATAAACAATTTTAACCAAGAAGTTGCCAAATAAGGCAAATATGGATTTTCTTTACCAAAAGAAAACCATGACTGTTTTCCAAAAACCAAAGGTTATCAAACATAAAAAATCATTCTAACATATTAAAGATGGCTCTGATACTACTGATGGCTTTAAAAACAACAAGTTTATTTTTTAGTTTATAACAAAACCAAACCATTAAGGATCCATTTATAGATGTTAGAATGAAATAAAAACAACCAAAGAGTTTTTAGAATAATAACCTTTGAAGCCTTTGAACCCTCTTGGTTTTGGAGTGTTGATGAAGATAGAAAAATCAAAGAGTATGATTTTCTCTACAAGTATCCACCATCAAGATTAAGACAATTGGAATGCTAGTTCCTTCTTGTATTATTTTGTTCTCTAAGCCTTTAAGTACTTAACAAATAAGAACTAAAGGAAGACACAAAGTAAGCAACAACTTCAAAAAAGTGAGAGCTCCAAGCTCTTTCATGCCCACGGTTTTGGTGAAGAATCAAGAGGAAGAAGAGAGAGTTTTCATTTTCAAAAATACAAGCCTCATGCATCTCTTATATATTCCATGCAAAGTAAGGCTTAACCATTAAAATACTCTAAATTATTTGTAGCCTTTAGAAGCATGGGAGACAAAGCATGGAGGCAAAAGTATGGTCACAAAAGTATGGACAACCTCCATGATTATAATATATATTTCGGCCATACCTCTCAAAAGAGGATGAATTCTTTATTTTTTTTATAAACTCTAAGTTTATAAAATATAAACTTTGTCTTTAGGTAAAAGACAAAAGAATCCAACTAGTCCAAACGGATGTGCATAACTTATTAATTCATACCATATGAAATAATAACTAGTTATACTCTCTTATAATTATTATTTTTTCATAAAACAATAATTATTCCCTAATTAAATACAATAAATGATATTATTTATTAATAATCATATTAATAATAAATATACAAAATGTGTCAACTTGATAAAGGTGTGACCCTATAGGATCATATATTATTAGCAATATCACTCCATAATGATTCTTTGACATATAGATTCAACACAAAGCACCCCAAGAAAGAAAGAACTATGCGGGATTCTTAACCCACAATCAATAAGCCTCACGTAAAACTCTACCTTACCCATCATAGCCAAAGGAATGTTGGATGAAGGATATGTCAATGCTAATATGGCAGGTATTTCATGCAATTCCTTTTTTAACCATAATTTGCAAAAATAGGTTGTTGATTCAGGAGAGAATTAACATATGTCAACTTTTGGATCACTTTTACATGATTCTATTAATGTGTCCAAGTTGAATCTTAGGTTCAGTCATCCTAATGGGTCATTTGCTCAAATTATAAAGATAGGAAATATGCATTTGTCAAATAATGCAACTTTGTTTGATGTTTTTGTTGTCCCTGATTTTACTGCCAATATTTTGTCTGTTCATAAACTTTGTAAGGATAGTAAATGTGAAATTCTATTTAATGAACATAACTTCACTGTTCAAGATTCACAGTCTAAGGTGACGGTGGAGACTGGTTGCCAATCTAGTGGGCTTTATTGCCTTGTAACTATGACATTAGGTAATAACCTCATTACGTCTAATAATAAATGTTAGTTTGAGAGGGGGTGTTAAAAATATATATATGTGTGCAAACTAACATTTATTATTATTTTTGTTATTTGTGTCTATTTTGTTATTTTTCTTATTTCAAGGGTTAAATGTGAAGTGTGTTTAGTTTATGGTGCTTTTGGTATTTTGTTCAGATATACATATGTTAGTTTTTTGTGAGAGACAGTGATAGTAGCCCCCAAAAGTTCCTTATTCTCTCTCAGATCATATTAGGGTTCTTCATAACCTAGCCATTATTCATATTAGTTCATCTTCTTTTCTGTAAGAGTTGAATGATTAGAATAGAGTGCAGAGCAGATTCTTTGTAGTGAGTTTTGGTTGTAATTTGTACATGAAAACAAACTCGATTTTAATGAGAAATTTGTTCATGTTGGAATTATTGAGTTTGTATAGTTTTTAGAAATATAAAAAAGCCACATGGACTAGTTCTCAAATTCTATTTATTTAAAAAAAAAGAAAAAGAATTCCACATATGCTATAGGAAACTGGAACCAAATGTGGTTGTTCTCTTTTTTAACAGGTAAAATAAAAGTTTAATGACCCACGACACAAAAGAAAAAAAAAATGTTAGTCAAACCCAAAGACGAAAGTTGGTTGACATATAGGTTAATAAAACATCTTTTTATCCAAACATTTACAACACTTGATTACCGATATTAATTATAATAAATCAATAAGCAATTCCAAACACAACTTATGTTTAATTCAAATAAGCAATTCCAAACACAACTAATGTTTGGCCATGCATTTTTTTTCACCGACAAAGATCATTCTTGCCTATAATTTTTTTTGGAAAAGACAAATGAGATTAAAAACCCAAACCAAGAGCAGCAAGAAGCTTACTTGGTGAAAGAAACAAATGTGATCCAAAGCAAAACAAAAACAAAAATTATGATCAAAGCAAAAAGATTGTGAAGATTCTTGCCTATAATCGTTTTCTAAAATTTAATTTTACCCCAACATCATTTTTTAAAAGGAAAAGCCTAAAACTTGTAAAGATTTTTCAATTCTTGAAGGTTGCACACCCTTTTCTCAGTTATCTGTCTACGTCGCCTTGCTCATTGGGGTCGTTTTTATAAAATTTGCTTTCCAAAAAAAACATGTCTACGTCGAAGATTGAAGAAACGGGGGTTATAAACGGAAGAGCAATCTTGATTTGCGAAAAATGGCAACTAGTAAAACGTGTTCCTAAAGTTCACGACAACCGCTAAGTCGGCCGCTAGAGTAAAGAAAGCAACTTCAATTACAAAAGCTCATTTTGTTAGAAATTTGGGGTATAGAAAGGCTTGGAAATTCTGAGAATTATGGTATCACTTTCATATTAAAGTATTTGGGTGGTACTCTCAATCTTTAATCGGATAAGATACAGAAATTGAGAGCAAAAACAGAAAATCTGGTTGTTATGAATTTCGAGTGTACCATCAAATGAAGACCAAACTTAGTTAAATACATTTTCCATCAGAAAATTGTCACAAGACAGTTGTATGTCTGAAAACTGTCACAAAAAACAGTTTGATGTCTGAAAACTGTCACTAATCCGAGTTCTTTCTATAAGGGTCAAAACAAAGTCAAAAACCGGGTTTATTTCCAAAAATTCAAATTTCTGATGCATTTTTAATATAGTTCGACCCCAGCCAGGGGCTCCGCCCCTTGGACCCCGCTCCCAGAGGCGTTGCTCCCTGACCCCCGTTCGTTCATGGGCGAAACCTCTAAATGACAGTCTACTTTGAATCTTGAATAAACTTGAACAAGTGTGCACTCCATACATTCTTTATTTGTTTAATATTCATCAAGATTGATTTTGGTCAACAAATCAATCCATTACACTTAAATACACATTAATGATAGAAAATCACCAACACCTTTCGACCAAAGGCCCAATAATCGAGTGGTGAAGTGAGATTATCTTCTCTTTTCTTATTATTAGGTTTGAAGGCTTTGGTTCAAAAAGTGGCTGAGATAACCCGCACTAGCAAAAAAGACAAGCTCTGTTCATGGAGTTTTTTTTGGTGATAACCACCTACGATTCGATTCAACTATCAGGTATCCGAGAAGAAGACATAAATAAAGAAAGGTAGGTTAAAGTGGAGAAGGAGACGAGCTTGAGAAAGAAATGATTTGTAATTGACGTCGATTTCCTATTTGGCATCTACTCATCAAAATCCAGCCACGTATGTAATATCTATGAATTGGTAACCTGAAAATAAAAAAATAAAAAATAAATAACTTTACATTTTAATAATGTTTGGGTAAATTCAGTAATTTAGGGCTTTTATTTCATTTCCCCTTTTCAATAAACCATTAAACCACCAGTTACCAGTAAAGCCTATCAGCGGCGCCTCCTTCTCTTTCTGTTCACCGCCGTAGACATTCCAGTTAATCGATTTGAGATCTTTGAATAATTTTACCAGCTGAGGTGAGATTTTGCTCGATTTTGCATTTACTTTTGTTTTGTAGGCTCATGAATCATGATCGTGCCAGCTTTTGCTTGCAGTGTTTAGCGCACTTGTTCCTCCTGGCCACAATCTTAAATTTAGTTTTCTGCAATTGTACATGACATGAATCGATTGCTTTTGTTTTCTAAATCTTGAGATCAATGGTTTGTGTATACGTGAATTACTGATATGTATTTGGCTCATTTACTGTGAGCAATTTTATGTGTCCAGTCTTTTGTTGTTAGGAGTTAGGAGAACACCTGAAATTCTAATATCGAAAAGTCAAGTGTGACATGCAGATAGGGTGGCCTTAGGTACATAATAAAGATCTAAGCAAATACCAAATGGTATGGAAAGTAGTGATGAGAAGATGTTGGTGCTTAAATCAGATGTGATGGCTTTCATCGAAGGTCAATAAAGGGTCTGAAGTGAATTTTGATTTGCAAATTACTAAATATACAGCAGAGGTGAGGTACTATTAAGGAATGACTGTTTTTCCTTAAAACATCATTGTGTGAGAAAGATGAGCTTTGTTCATAGCTGTTTTTCCTTAACCTTTCAACAGAAAAATGAGTGTAGCATTCAAAAATGATCATTTACAAGTAAATGTTTCCAATCTGTTTAGATGTCCTATTTGCATGTATGTATGTTAAATTGAATGTGGATAGTTGTTAGATGTATATATGCAAGCTGTAGTTGTAGCTTCGTAAAATGATAGATGATAGAAGAGATGGTTTTTGGCATGGCAGAAGTCAGAAGAGATAGATGTCACAGCGAGGTGTTTGGCAGCTTCAGAAGTTGACAGTGAGCTACTGTAATTGGGGTGGAAGTAGCAGGGGGATTAGGTATGTAGTGTCTATTTTTCCCATAATGTACATTTGGGTTTTATAGATTATGATTGTGTTTGTTGTGTAGGGCATTTATGGAGTCGCAGTTGGCAGCATTTAAAGAAAGCAATCCTCAGCTAGAGGTGGTTACAGAGCTTAACCGTGGTCAACATCCATTTCTGAAGGGAGCATACAGTAAGATGAGCTTCTTACTCTATTAGATTAGATTTATGAATGAATGGATATGAAGATGATTAAATGATATTATTTGGTTAGAGAACAAGAATGAGCGGGTGGTATCTGTGATGAACATGAGTCCAGAAGACGTGCTGCTTTGTGCAACCAGGCTTAGAAATTCACTTGGAAGAAAGGTGGTGAAGCTCAAGACCAGACATGTCACCAAACACCCCAGTGTACAAGGAACCTGGACAATAGACTTGCAGATCTGATCTGCTGCTACATTTCTTTTATAAAACTACATGTATTAACTCTCATCTCAAGGATCATACAATTTGGCATCATTAACAAAAACTTAACCAGTTACCAGCCTCTCAACTCTATCATTGATGCCTATAAAAGCAGACACTATTTGTTTCTTAGAGACAGTTTTGGGTAAGGATGGTGCATGTTTTTACTCAAATGCTATAAATTGACCTCTACAATACAACTAGAGGTGCACAAAGCAGACCAAACCGTTGGTTTTCTTTTCCCGTTTTTACTAAAAAACCCGAGAACCGAACCAGGTTTTTAACGCAATTTCACTTCCAAAAACCAATATTTATGCACCTCTAAGGGCGTGTTTTCAAACTCCTTATTGGCATTTTGGAAAAGCCAAATATTTCTGGCTTTTTGGAGAAGCCATTTTTTTAACTAAAAAGTTAATTTATTGACTTTTTCAACTCTCAAACACCCACTAAATACAATTACTTTTAGTTGTGAATTAATTCGTATGTGAAATGGCCAACCCAAGGCCTGGACTGGTGACACTGACTCACAGGACATAGGTCCTCTGAAAAGCCCAACTAGGAGAAACTTAACCTTAATTTATTGAAGCACTCTACTTATGGGAATTACAATTCTTGTAAATCCCAACTAATCTAAAATGATTCAAAGCCATGATGTCCCTTTTCACAGCCACAAATATTGGAAATTAAGTTGTTATTTGAGGACCTCCTTCCCTCCCATTATTTTTGGATTCAAAAAGGTGTTCTGATTCCCTACGTGTATCCTGTCTGAAGCAGCAGACACAAATACACTTGTATAATAATCGTTCATCTATTTATTTATTTTTCTTTTTTAAAAAAAAAACAAAACAAAACAATTGAATAATCTTTTTCCGTACCCATAATGTTTCTTTCTTCTATTCTTCAAGACCCACCGGAACATTTGTGTGCAAAAACTATAAAGTATAGGGGAACTATTATCGATGGAAGAAGTGATAACAACCAGTTCTGATCAAAACCATTATATTATGAAGTAGCAGGCAGCTCTAATCACTATGTTCCCCTGCCAATAATAATAATAATAACAATAATAACATTACAGAAAAGGCATCATGGGGCCTTTTGGAAAAAACAATATCTTGTACGGGTAATACAATACCTTCAAGGTTATAAGCGTGAATCATCATTTACTTTGTTTTAAAAGGGAAAAGGGAGATGATTAGATCCTTGTTGTTAATGCATGCATGATCTACAATTTGATCCACCATCATTAATTTAAGTGATCGGACAGCCAACATCATTATACAAAAAGTGGGAGCTCTCTCTAGATTATTACAACATGGTGCGAGTATGTGTGGGTCTTATTACAATTTTTTATGCTCACGCTCCTTGTTGACTTTTTCCATTGACGACGTTGACTATGTTGTTTGGTTGGGGGAGGAGGTGTAAGGGATACCATCTAATCAGAACTGTGTGGTGAGTACAATTGTGGTATTCGTCTCTGGTGTCAAAGCTTGTGGGGTTGCTGATCAGCGAAGTAGGGTTTGATTTTCTTGGGTCAGTACATTCGTGAAAGACATAATCTGATACGATGGTGGCTACTATTAAACCAAGTGAGAATAACTCGGAATGGGAATGGAAGTTCGTAAAATCAAAGAACCAACCAAATGCCAAAAGGGAACATGTAGATGTTTTGCCCGAGGAACGTGGTAACACGGTAAACCCTAATTTTCATGATTCGGAGGTCTTGTCTCTCCTTGGATTTGAAAGCCTTGTGGAAAGAATGTGAGAAATTTTGTATAATACCGGATGTTTATATTGCAAGCAAATTGTCTATGATTAGTAAAAGATTTGCGTTTGTCATATTTTTACGTGTGGTTGATAGGCACAATCTTGAAAAGAACATTCATCCATGTGGACCGGAAACCATCATATTTTTGCTTCTTCGACAAGGATTACTTGTGGGAAGAATGTTGTGAGGACTAAACCTACCGATCGGAAGTGAGAGGATTGGTTACGGAGAAAGAGGAAGTCGGATTCATATTCACATAAATGAGAAGTATATAGGAAGAATAATAGTCTATGATTTCTTTTTGAAAAGGAAGAACCGGCTTTCTTTGAATTTGAAATAATCAAACTATCCTAATTATGACACTCATGTATAAAGGGTTCTCCATGAAGGAACCAAATGACAATTTATTCCTATAGAACATTTAGGAACAAGACGATTGAAGTGGAAATATCGATAAATTTTTGTGGAGTCCAAAGAAATGAAAATAAATAAAAGGTCAACTTGTTCAAATTTCATCTCTATTGAATATGAATATCAGAATAACAGATATAATAATGATTCAATGGGTCGGGTCACATCAAATGGAAATGGGAGGGTGGATGAAAAACAAACGTATGCAAATGTGGTTACCGGAAAAGTAAATTGGATGGATGGTGGGACTAAGGACAAAGTAATGAAAAGGGTATCTTTGGAATCTCCATAGTTGTTGAAAGTTCCAAATGCTTCATGTGGGGTTTGATGTAAGGATTATTGCTAATCTTTACAAGTTGTGTTTGAAAGAAGGATTTCAATACGTGAAGATAAACTATATTGGCAAATTGTGGGTATGGTTAGAATTCCAAACAAGAAGTGCATGTACAAATGTTAATGTAAATGAGGGATGAAACGCTTCTTCAAGGAGTTAAAATAATTGTTTAAGAACTTTATGGTGAAAGAGAGAATGTTTTGGGTGGAGAGTGATAGACTTCTGTTGTCTTCTTGGATGTTTAATGATTTCAAGAAAGCAGCGGATTTATGGGGTGAAATTATGTTTTAAGATGAAGACTAAAAAGATAACATTTCAATCGGAAGAGTGTGTATAAAATCATATTTTTTTATATCAGATCAAGTAGTAGTAAAGATTGAAAGCATGGATTATATTGTCAAGGTTAAGGAAATTTTCAGTTGGGTTCCTAATATTGATAAGGGAGAACAAGATAATGAATCTCATGAGGGGTCTCAATTGATGGAGAAGATGATGAAAGTTTGGATTCTTCAAAGGATAATGAAAAGGACGATGGATCATTTGTTGTGGATACTTTCTATCAAAAAAAGGTTCATGAAAAAGGAAGATGGACGAAGATGTTAATAAACGGGCACAAATAAGTGGATGGATGCTAGAGTGTAACATCACAAATTTTAAACCAAATTTTTCTTTAAAAATAAAGTAATTACACATTCAAACTCATTCTTTCAAAGTATTATAAAACCCTTTTTGCTTAAACATCAAAACATGGTTTCCAAAAACATAGTATCAAATCAGAGTAGGATCTTTACATCAACAGAAGTCTCCAAAACAATAACAACATGGATGCGATTATACAGTCATGTCGCGCCCTTCCCTCTCACACATGAACAACCTGCAAACATTTAACTTGACAACGTAAGCATAAAGCTTAGTGAGTTCCCTAGTGTACCACATATTCCAAAACACATACAATGCATACAAACAATGACTCGCGACCATACGCCATTCCGCCTTACTCATAGCCTAGCGTCGTTTCGTCATCAACAGTTGATTCGCGGCCTTGTGTCGTCCCGTTATCAACAGCTGACTCGCAGCCTTGCGTCTTTCTGTCAACGAAGATGAATATCAAGGCTCACAACCTAGCGTCATTGTAACATCTTGATTTCCAGGTATTCCAATTTGGACCTTGGTTTGTGATTTGTTTGCAAAGTTAGTCCTTAATGGCATTTTTGTAATATTGGGACATACATGCGTACGTTGGGCGTGCATGGCCAGGGGCAAAACCTAGTTTTTAGGGTTTGGACCCTATTTAAACATCATTATAGCCCCGTACTCTCTCTTAACTCCAGCCTCCATCCCTCTTTTTGCCCTCACTTTGAAACCCTAACGTGTGTGAGTGTATTTTGAAGCTTGAAGAGTCATTTTTGTGCCATTTTGGTGCTCTTGGTGGTGAAGGAAGAACCTTGAAGTTGTGGTGCTTCACTCAAGACTTTAGATCCAACAACTACTCTCCCTTGTGCATCTTATGGAGGTATAAAACTCCAACCTTGATGAATATTTCATTAAGATCTAGTTCTAGCTTAAAGTTGGCACCTTTGTGTCCCAAATCGTGATCCTTGTGAGTATGGAATACTCCAAGACTTTTGAGTTGTCCTTTAAGAGGTTTTAGGGTGTGATTAGTCATAAAAATGTGACCTTGGGCATTAGTTTCTTTCCATGCATGATATAGGTTGTCTTAATGGGTCAAGAAGCTAAGATTTTTGATGTTGAGGTCTTAATAGCCATGCAAGACCATAAAGTTGGAAACTTTATGGTTAAGAACATCATTTGAGGGCTAGATCTTGATTTTGGGCGAAAGAGCTTAAGGATTAAGCTATTAATGGGAAGAATGGGTGAGAGTTGTGTACGCTAGGCATACCAAAAGGTACGCTGCGTGTACGTGGTCAGCCCCTCGATTCTGGTCAAACGCGTAGTACGCCCCGCATATATGTTGAGTACGCCCAACGTACTCACCGAGTTGACTCGGTTGACTTTGACTTTGACTTTGACCTGGATTTTGACCAAGTTTGACCTAGGGGTATATTGGGTATTTTGAGTTGTAGTCTGAGTTTAGGTTACTGTTATTTGCAATGGTGACCGGTAGAGTTGGTTTTCAGAGCAGCATATTGTTCAACTTTTCATCCGTCTATGATGTGAGTTTTCTCACTGTATCCATGGGTCAAAGGCACCAATGTCGGCCCATCATTGTGTTATGTAGGATGATAGTTGTTATGTGACTACTATGTGTTTGTATGTTCGAGTTGAAATAAACCCCAGGGCGGGGCCCACTATCGTATGTTCGGGTTGAAATAGACCCCAGGGCGGGATCCATTATTGTATGATTGGGTTGAAAGATACCCCAGGACGAGGCCCACATGTGTTGATCAGGTTGAAATACACCCCAGGGCGAGGCCCGAGGGCTAGGCCCATATATGTATATTGGGTTGGTCTATACCCCAGGGTTAAGCCTAGTTGTATTATTGGTATGTGGTATTTTGGGGAACTGACTAAGCTTGTACTTACAGTTTATGTTTATGGTTTCAGGTACTTCCGGTTCGAAAGGGAAGG